CACATTTCCTGTCCCTTTTTCTCTCTGCCCCTCCCTGCTCATGCTCTCTCTCTCTCTCAAAAATAAACATTAAAAAAAGAGAGAGAAGTTAAAACTAAACACAATAAAAAAAAGATTTTTTTTTTTTTAGTAATTAACACCAGTGTTTCATTGCTAAGTCATAAAAGGAAAAAAAAATTCCAACCTTGATTTCTTTCCATAAATAGAACTTCAACTAGGTAATCACTCTAACTCCCAAACATCCTCAAGTTAGTCCATATCTCTCCGTACCAACTTCCAGGACCACTATATCTATGCCACTAACTCCTCTCCTCCAGATTATTTTAACATCCTGCTAACTAATATTCTGGACAGCATTCTTATCTCCTTCTAATCTTTCTCCATATTTTAGGCAGGGTGATGGTTCTAAAATGCGTATCTGAGCTTTTGATTCTCCTTCATAACCTTCCCATGGATTGCTACTAAGCCCACAGGCTCTACAATGGCTTAAAAAGCTTTATATGGGGGTGTGTGGGAGGCAGGAGTCGGACACATAACCGATTGAGGCACCCAGGTGCCCAACACCGTGTACTTTTTCTGTCACAGAATTTATCACAATATATAGAAATATTCCCATCTGCCATTATACTATAAACTTCTGAGGACTGTGATGGTATTTACTTTATCCAGTGGCATCTACCTAGAATCTAGCAGAGTAAACACTCAAATGTTTGCTGTTGAATACAGACACAAGATAATCTGATTTACCTGAACAACAACCACAAAAAATACAAACCATCCTTGATAACATTACAAGAGAGAAGCGTCATGATTACACACACACACATACGCACACGTGTATTACCTTTCTTTGGTGCTTTGTCAGTGTTTGTTTCTGTAGCTTCAACTTTCTTCCCTAACCTCTGTGCAAGGCTACGCTTTAATGGAGGATCGCTGTCACCACCTACAAACACACAGAACTTAGTTTAAGAGTTTAAATCCATCTTCAACAAGGTAAAGAACTATAAGCAAACAGACAACACAGAGTAATTGTTAAGTTTTCTGTGTTTATATGGTGTGTTCATTCACTAGCTTCCTTAGAATTCAGTGTTAGAGAATACAAAGGTAGCAGAAAGAAAAAATAAGGAACAAAAAATTAGAACACACAAATCAACACCTACCAAATAATAGACTAAAACTACAAATGGCCCTGAATGATAAGCCCTGATTAAGGCCAAAATTCAGAATTAGGAATATGGGAAAAAAAACAAAAACAAAAACACGTACAAACAAAAATCTTATTTGGCCAACTGCTGAATTCTAGGCATATCTGGGGTTAAATGCACCTGTGGTGATTAGGTGAACAGCAAAGCAATCATTACATTTTCCTGTGACTTCAAGACTCTGAAGACTAAATAGCCCTCTCTTCTAGATAAGAAATCTAAGGTTATGAAAGATTCTGTAGGTTACTGAAGTCACCAATTAGTGATAGAGCCAAGACCTGAACCAGGTTTCCTGCCCCCTGGTTTGCTGTCTTGTACTGCTCTACACAAGGTGTCTACGTGTCACCAGCTGAAAGTTGTTTTTCAGGTTGCCCGACTGAAGGTATCATCTTTGCAGGGTCCCATTAGAAACTGGAGAGACTAGACACAAGGTAGGATTTTTCTCTCCATTCTCATTTGTAATTTAAATGTGAAACCATAAAATCACAAAGTTTACATGTATGCTGACATTTAAATAAAAAGTCGTATTTTTTAGCTAAAAAACTCAAGTTCCAATCTGTCCATAGAAACAAAGAGATATCTTCTTTACTGTTTTTTCAACACAGTACCTTCTAAAAAGCTGGTTATAGTCTAAATTGTAACACTACAAATTTCTGTAATCAATAAAAGGTATTAACGCATACATGAAAAACATCAAGAAATTCTGTAAGTTCTTGCAGCCAAGAATTCAGAAGGACCAGTAAATCAGTATTGACAGGACGTTCATGCAAAGGGAGTTCTGGAGGACATATCATGTTAATGCACAAACAGAAAACCACAAAGGATCTGCCCCAAATTTATCTCACCTACTGAAAATTTTCGTTTTCCCAGTCTCTCGGTTAGACTCAATCTTACCAAGGGTTCTTCTCCTGAAATGGCAAAAACAGGATTTCTCTACCATTAGTCCATTTTTCTGTATTCAGTAACTAATAATGGGTTACAACATAGGCTCTGATAAGTCCACCCAGGAAGTCTCTTGAAAGTCAGGTCTCAGTATTAAGACTGTATCTCACCGGAATTAAAAAATAAATTAATTATTTAAAAAAAAGACTATATCTCATTGGGAAAAAAAGATTTAACCTATTAAATAATTTTTTTTATAAATTTTTTTTTTTTTCAACGTTTATTTATTTTTGGGACAGAGAGAGACAGAGCATAAACGGGGGAGGGGCAGAGAGAGAGGGAGACACAGAATCGGAAACAGGCTCCAGGCTCCGAGCCATCAGCCCAGAGCCCGACGCGGGGCTCGAACTCACGGACCGCGATATCGTGACCTGGCTGAAGTCGGACGCTTAACCGACTGCGCCACCCAGGCGCCCCTTAAATAATTTTTTAAAAAGTTTATTTATTTGAGAGTGAGAGCAGGGGAAGGGCAGAGAGAGAGGGAGAGAGAGAGGATCCCAAGCAGACTGCGCTGTCAGCATAGTGCCTGATGAGGGGCTCGAACTCATGAATCATGGGATCATGACCTCTAAGTCAAAACAAAGAGTCGGGTGCTTAGCTGACTAAGCCATCCAGGTGCCCTACTAAATAATAATTTAAATAGCCAAATGCGCAGTCCAAAGGGAATTAATAACACAGTCCTAATTCTAACAGTAGCCAAGCATATGAACACAGGCTGTGTTCTGACCAACTGATTATAAAACCCAAGCTCTTCTTTTTGCTTGTGCACCTCGATATGCTCAATGAAACCACACTCTACTCCATTGCTAACCCTTGTACAGAACTTTGATTACCAGCAAAAAGTGAGCTCTCTTTCTTCTAATTCTTTGTTGTTTCAACAGCACATTTAAATGTATCTACACTACACTTACTTAAGTCATTATCTCTTACCACATTTAAAACTATTAAGAGAAAAGACTTCCATTTTTTTTTTTTTTTTAATATTTTTATTTATTTTTGAGACAGAGAGAGACAGAGCATGAGCAGGGGAGGGGCAGAGAGAGAGGGAGACACAGAATTTGAAGCAGGCTCCAGGCTCTGAGCTGTCAGCACAGAGCCCGACGTGGGGCTCGAACTCACGGACTGTGAGATCATGACCTGAGCTGAAATCAGACGCTTAACCGACTGAGCCACCCAGGCGCCCCAAGACTTCCATTTTTCTACAGCTGAAAGATTTTATTATAGTTCTTTACTCACAATGGGCAGTCAATAAATTTGTTGAATGGATACAGGTAAACGGTAAATGTAAAAATGAAACATACATAAATGTGAGAGCTGCTTGAACAAGAATTTTAACCTTTTATAAGTAAGAGTCAAAGGCACTGATTTTTCTTCTCATCCTTATATGTGACCAACATACTAAAGTCTTCCTGCAAATCCATCCAAGGTACACTACACCCTAGGACTTAGCTCTCTCAGTTATACGGTAGTAGTAGCCTGACAACTCTCAACCCAGACCGACCTATATCTCACCTTGTTTGCTGGAAAGAGTTACTGTCCTCACTACTGTCCGGACATTCTCTTTTTCAGGACCAGGAATGGGCTGAGGTTCGAGTAAAAGACTGGAAACTCCGGAAGAACCTTCTGAATAAAGCAAGTCAGAGAGCAGCAAATAATTTAGGAAAAAATAAAGCCATTACAAGCCAAGAAATTGTTTTTGTGACCAGTTAAGTTCAACACAGACCACTGGAGGACTACGGGCCAGTCTTGTAGAGGCAAACCTAGCTGCCTTTGGTGAATTAGGGTGTGGCAAGAGAGGGGAGAGAATCCCTATTTCTTCTCTGCCTTGGTCACAATGTAAAAATAAAATATAAAATTGTTTCCAGCGACTCAGGCACTGAATCTACTTTTATTTACCAAGAAGGCTAAACACAACTCCAAGAACAAGCCTTAGCAAGGGAGTACTTAGAACCAACCATTTGATCCTCTCTAAATACTACTTTTCACACTGGATCTGTGGTTTTTAGGGTTGGAAATATAGGCCAACCAGGCTGAGGCAAGCTCTAGAAGACAACAGCTCCTGAGAAGAATTCAAATAATTCAAAATAAAGTTTTTCTCGCCTCAGTGTGATTTATATGCCATTCTTTGGAGTTGTCTTTCTCAAGACAGAGCAGTTCTTCCCAGTACACTGTTGTCCACGTCTAGCTCTGAGTTAAAAAGCCGCCCTGATTTCAAGAAGTCTGTGCTTTATTTCAAACAAACCACATGTGCTCATTCTGGCTGCTGCCAAGTGTCCTCATCAGAAGGTTCTTGTTATTCTCCTGTAGTAAAATCTGACCACCCGTGTCAAAACTGATGACTTACCACCTTGCTTCTTGGATTTTTCCTTCATTTTCTTTGACTTAATTTCCTCAAGGGTTTTTATTCCAAAATTCAAACATTCACCTGAGAAACCCAAACAGAAACCACATGAGGAAAGAACACTTCACTCCCTCTGTGTTTTATTTGTGCACAGCAAGCAGGCAAATGTTTTCTGGACAAATAAGAGAAAGTATGTGTAAATCTGCTTGTGCGTACAGTGGGGGCGGAGGAGAAAGAGGTGGCGGTGATCGTGATCCATTCCCAAGTTATTTAAAAGAGTTCGGGCACATTCAACAGTGCTGCAAGACTCATGAGAAGGCACCAGCAACAAGACGGCCTCTTCTTACCTTGCTTCAAACTGACCCCAGGTTTGCGGGCAGAAGCTGCTCGTAATCCGTTGTGAACTTCGGGAGTTGGTTGCAGGATGGGCGTTTTGCTTTCATCGCCTTCCTCAGAAAACTGATCTATGTATCAACATGTAAGGCAAATGTACAATTAACAACAGGCTCTCATTCTGATTTCTAACTCACTAAATGACCCCCAGTCACTTATTTGCCTTAAAGAAAGAGCTGAAAACTCACCATCATCATCTTCATCATCATCTGCAGCATTGATTACAACTGGTGGATGGGTGGGGCTGGGAACATTTTCCGAACTTTCTACTTTCATAACACTTCGCAGCTGGGGGGAGGGATTAGACTGGACAGACAGTTTGTTCTGTTGAACTGTGAGCTGGTTAGCCTTCACTTCCTCTTCTGGTGACTCAGGCACACTGGGGAGCACAGCTAGATACACAACATCAGTCAGAAGTTAAAAATAGAAGATAAAGTCCCACTTCATCAAAAAATCTCCAACCGCATAGAAGTTTGGTGCATTTTCCTTATGAGCACTTATGTCCTTTTATACCCGATTTCCCCATTTTCACAATTAAGTTGCACACTCCCAGGGAGGGAAAACAGGGCTTTTAGCTAGTAACTCCTCACCGTACATAAACACACTCAAAGTAGGTGTTCAAAACACAGACTAATCTGGAGGCTAGACGTATAAAACTGGTTGCAAATTCTAGACATTTAATTTTAATACTGAAATTTGAGGCTTTTTGCTCAGCAAATAAGAGATAGTAGATATAACACTTCTGAACCAAACCAGAGAGGAGCAAAGCCACTTTTTTCTCTTAAATGGGGGCCAAAATGTGTAGCCATCAAATTTTAATCACCTAAGCAGGGTTGGCAAACCGTTTCTGTAAACAGCTGGGACAGTAAGTATTTCAGGCTTTGCAGACTACTGTGTCTCAACTATTCAACTCTGCAGCAGGAGCATAAAATCTGGCCATAGAAAATATTTGAATGAATGGGCATGGCTTCCTTCCAATAGAAGGTTATTTTATAAAACAGGTGGGGGGCCAGTTCTGTCGAACCCTGGCCTGGAGAATCAAGTTTCTTTTGGAAAACTCATTGGGTCTGATAAGAAAATGGGAAATGAAGCTATCGTAATCTAAACTGTCATGCCGAGAAACATTTGTGAGGCAGCATGGCTTTTGGCGACAAAAGCTTATGATACTTACCGGTTTATGAGCAGGGCTATCTAGGTATAAGTCATTTAACCTCAAAGAAGAGTTCAGCTCCCTCATCTATAAGGTGGAAATAAAACTGTTCTCTTGCAGGACTAAAAGGCCATGTATGTAAAGTACTCTATATACTGCACACAGCAGGTGTTCATTAAATAGTAACTATTCTTTTAAAACTAAAAACACAGCTCACTTTTGCTTGGAGGTAGGAAAAGGCCATCAACGTAACGTCCTCTGTTGTGATGGAAAGCGCAGTTCAGCTTCTGGCATCCCATTGGCTGATTCTCCCAGTAACACGGAATCTCACTACGTTTTTTCTAGAGGAAAAAACACATTGTTTTCAAATAAAAAATGAGTTGTGACCTGTGTTACTTTGGTCATTTGTTTTCTGAACAATAAAGTTCACCACAGGCTTCAAAACTCTGAGGTATGTGAGCTGACTGTGAGCAAGAGGGTTGCTGAAAGTGACACTCTTCATGCTTGATGGGGAGAGGAAGTGGGTAGGGAAGTAGTTCCTCTGCTGTTGTCTCATCCTAGAACCTCTCAATGCCTACACTTAACTTACAGATGCAGGATAATATATTAGTTAAGATTATGGAATCAAAGATACCATTATGCTACATACTGGCCATGTGATGGTGGACAGGTAATTTAATGCCTCTAAGTCTTAGTATCCTCAGCTATAAAATGGCAATAAGAGTAGCTATTTAAGTTTCGTGTAAGGATTAAATGAAATAATGTACACGAAACACTTAGCATGTAGAAAGGACTCACTAAACTGCAGTTATTATTTGAAGCTGCGAGTTCATAGCTTTGAGATTGATTTTCCCTTTTGTGACTTCTCCAAGGAAGGCACATGTAACACACTAAGGATTGGTATTTTCCTTCACAAGCTACCGCACCCTTCTGAAGGGGAACGAGAAAAGAAATACCCTCACATCAAGAATAAACTGCTGGGTCACAGGATATATGCTCGGCAGAAATACATACATTACTGCTAATGCATACGCTAGATGTGTACGTGTGTTCAAAACAATACTGTTTGTTAACAGCTCCAAAATGGAAAACCAAATGTACACAAACACCAGAATGGATAAATACACTGTGGTTTTTTCATACAAGAGCACTCTACCCAGTACACAGAAGGAATAAACCACTGCTACACTTAACATGACAGTGCAAAAGGAAAGAAGCCAGACACAAGAAGAGTACACACTGTGTGGCTGCACTGATGTAGAGATCAAAACAGGTAAAATTTCTCCGTGGTAGAGCAGTCAGGTTAGTGAGAAGTTTCGAGGGCACAGTTGGCGACAGTCAAGAGATAAAGGGGGAACACAGAACTGCATCTGTTGGATTATGTCGGATCGCTCATCATAATAAGCAACCTAAGGTTTAAAACTGTAGGAAGAGTGGGGCTCCTGGATGGCTCAGCTGGCTCAGCATCTGACTCTTGATTTCGGCTCAGGTCACGATCTCACGGTTGTGAGGTGGAGCCTTGCATCGGGCTCTGTGCTGGGCAGGGAGGCTACTTAAGACTCTTTTTCTCTCTCTCCCTCCACCCCTCTCCCCCTCGAGCATGCACACAGGTGTGCTCACTCTCTCTCAAGAATAAATTAAAAAAATTCTAGGAAAGAATAGCAGCATTGCTTCAGAAAGCTAAAAATATGGGAGAGAGAAACAAAAACAATTACCATTATAAAAAGATCCTTAAATGTAGCAAAAAGGGCAAAGATAAAAATTGACGATTTTGAGAAATTATTTGATAATACACTGTGTCAGTGGGAATGTGGAAGAATCATACAGCCCTGTGTACTGATAATGGAAATGAAAATTAGCTCAACATCTCTGAAAAGCAGTTCGGTTAGAAAAAAAAAAAGTACTTACAAAACTGATGTCCTGAGTTTACTGCCACATGTATAATTACCTATTTTTGTTTTTATTTAATTAATTAATTTATTTATTATTTTTACATTTATTTTTTGAGAGGGAGAGATGGAGCACAAGGGCAGGGAGGGGCGGAGAGCTAATGAGACACAGAATCTGAAGCAGGCTCCAAGCTCTGAGCTGTCAGCACAGAGCCCCATGCAGGGCTCAAACTCATGAACCATGAGATCATGACCTGAGGCGAAGTTGGACACCCAACTGACTGAGCCACCCAGGCGCCCCTATAATTACCTATTTTTAAACAGTACAGCAAAGGGGCGCCTGGGTGGCTCAGTCGGTTAAGCGTCCGACTTCAGCTCAGGTCACGATCTCGCGGCCCGTGAGTTCGAGACCCGCGTCGGGCTCTGGGCTGATGGCTCAGAGCCTGGAGCTTGCTTCTGATTCTGTGTCTCCCTCTCTCTTTCTGCCCCTCCCCCATTCATGCTGTCTCTCTCTGTCTCAAAAATAAATAAAAACATTAAAAAAAATTAAAAAAAATAAACAGTACAGCAAAAACCTTTACCTTTCAAAGAAATGGACAGAATGTATTAGTCTCCTGGCACATGCAAAAGGGAAGCATAATAGTACTATTCTCTTTTAGACAGAAGTAACAATTATTCAATTACTCCTTCCTTAAGGCAGAACCTAATGCTCCTGGGTCTGTCTTTGCTTAAGTTTTTACTTCTTTCCTGGAAGCAGTTTTCAAATTACTGGATGACTTCTGTAATGATATCCTCTATATACATGACACATGTATATAGTCACATGACATTTACTTGCTCTGTTTAACACACTTACTGGATTTTGTTTCTTTTTTAAAAAATGTTTATTTATGGGGCGCCTGGGTGGCTCAGTCGGTTAAGTGTCTGACTTTGGCTCAGGTCATGATCTCGCAGTTCATGAGTTCAAGCCCCGCGGCGGGCTCTCTGCTGACAGCTCAGAGCCTGGAGCCTGTTTCTGATTCTGTGTCTCCCTCTCTCTCTGCCCCTCCCCTGCCTGTGCTCTGTCCTTCTCTGTCTCTTAAAAAATAAAATAACACGTTAAAATAAAAAAATTTTTTTTAAAGTTTATTTATCTTTGGGAGAGAGAGAGAGAACACACAAGCGGGAGAGGGATAGAGAGAAAGGGAGACACAGAATGTGAAGAAGGCTCCAGGCTCTGAGCTGTCAGCACAGAGCCCAATGTGGGGATCGAACACATGGACCTCGAGATCAAGAACTGAGCTGAAACCAAGAGCTGGATGTTTAACCAACTAAGCCACCCAAGCACCCCACTGGATTTTGTTTCTAAGTGAAAAGTAATACACGATGAAAACCACTTGGAAAATGGTAATAAATGCTTGCTATGCTATTACCCAAAAAGAAATACAGAATTCTCTCTCCAAATATATATCTATATCTGTATCTATAACTAAAGGTGTGCCTGGCTGACTTAGTTGGTAGAGCAACTCTGGATTCTGGGGTCATGAGTTCAAGCCCCATGTTGGGTCTAGAGTTTATTATTTAAAAATAAAAAAGAAGAAGAAAAATTATAAATGTCTACATGTATACTTAAAAACTTAAAAGTATTCCATATAAGTGTACCCACTTTTCACTTAGCAACAGATCCTCCCTAGTAACATTCTCCTACAGAATTTTTTTTTAATATTTAAAAGGTAATACAGCACATGGTCCAAAGACATACAGCTAATTCTATGAAGTCACTACGAACACTAAATTAGCTAATAGTGAACCCGATTGCTCCTAAGGGAAATACAGAGTTTAAGTTAGTCAGGTTCCTGCAAGTTTCTGGTCACATTTTTATCAAATAATCAATATAGCACGGTTGAACGGGTGTTTGTATTTAAAGACACCTTTTTTAGTGTATTCATTAACACAGAACTCAAGGCCAAGGGCACTATACCTCACAACTGAATGAAGCTTATCTAATACAGGTATTTTCTACATAAGGCACTTTAAGAACTTTGTTGCACTTAGTAACACTACACAGCACTTCAGCACCACACTTGGGAACCATTTTAATCAGCAAAATCACCAAGAAAAAGGACAAAAATGCAAAACACGTGGCTTTAAACAGACCACAAAAAGGACACTTGCTAATGGTATGAGAACTAAAACAAGCCAGCAGAGTGTCACCTTGTTCCATCTCAGCTGGGAGTGTGTAGGTCACGTGACTCAAGTTTTTCAATGCTTTGCACACGTCTGCAGATGGCCCATAAAACACCACAAGTATTGATTTGGGGGTTACAAATAAATTTTAGCAAGTAGGTGAATTTGCAAACATGGAACCCATGAATAATAAAAATCAACTGCATGTAGAGGGGGTTACAGTAAAAACACTCCTTTCCATTCCTGTCCCCACTCCCTGACAACCCATGTTTTAAGTTTCTCTTTTATACCCCCAGAGATTTTAAAAATACATATGCAAATGAAAAACAAATATAAATTCTTCTCCCTTTTTTTTTTTACCAAATGGTAGCATATTATGCACCTTATTCTACCCCCTTGCTTTTTCACTGACAATATATCCCAATCTTTCCTTATCAATAAAGTTTCCCTTTTAAAAAATTTTAACAGCTGTCCAGTACTCCACTGTATGAATGTAGCAATTTACTTTATTAACAAAATTTTTTTAATGTTTTATTTATTTTTGAGAGAGAGACAGACAGAGTGCAAATGGGGCAAAAGCAGAGAGAGAGGGAGACACGGAATCCGAAGCAGGCTCCAGGCTCCGAGCTGTCAGCACAGAGCCTGACGCAGGGTTCGAACCCACAAAACCATGAGACTCATGACCTGAGCTGAAGCCAGACGCTTGACCGACCGAGCCACCCAGATGCTCCTAATTGTAGCAAATTTATTTTAAATGAGGATTAGGTTATTTCACATATCTTATCATTACAAATTATGAGTAATTCTGCATCTATCTTCTTTTGCACATATGAGCACAGATGACACAAAGCTAAAAACACAAAAACAAAACAAAACAAAACAAAACAAAACAAAACAAAACCCCAGCATACAGTATTTTTGAAGATACAGCCCAAAGACTGCTATCCTTAGGTAGCCTGCTTGCTAAGTTGGCCCTAGGTTGGCATGTGGGAACTTGGCTCTTGGAATGTTCCTAGTCAGTTAATTGATCACGGTGCCCAGACTGTGCAAATAACATGTCTTAGGCTGCCATCCTTCTGGGAGTCTAGAGTTCTGGAATGTGATAGGTAGAGGGTGCTTACATGATTAGCCCCATTAAAAATCTTGGATGCTGAGTTTCTAATGGGTTTCCCTGGGCAGGAACATCCCACACGTAGTGCTGCACTTTCATTGCCAGGGAAGTGTGTGCTCTGTGTGACCCGTCATGAGAGGGAGATCATAAAAGAAAACCGCACACGGATTCCTCCAGACTCTGCCTGTGTCTTTTTTTCATTTATAATCAGTGTACCTCCCCATCACTGTAATAAATCTTAGCCACGAAATACAACTATATGCTGAGTCTCCTGATGAGTTCTAGAGTATATCTAAATGTAAATTTATTTTTCAGGTTTATTTATTTATTTTGAGAGAGACAGAGAGAGCATGAGCAGGGGACGGGAGAGAGAGAGAGGCAGAGAGAATCCCAAACAGGCTCCGTGCTGTCAGCATGGAAGACAAGTGGGACTTGAACCCACAAACTGTGAGATCACGACCTGAGCCAAACCCAAGAGTCTGACACTTAACCAACTGAGCCACTCAGGTTTCCCTCTAAATGTAGATGTTCTTAGAGACTCTTGACACACCACGCCTTTTAGGGAGTTGTGCCAATTTATACTTTGCCAGTACTACATTAATTTTCAAAAGCTACAGAGTATTTCTCTGAATTTATTTAGTGAATTCCCTGCTCTTTGGAAGATAGGCAGCACAGAATGCAGTTAAGAGGCCATAAATCTAGAACCTACCTGGAGTAGCTCTGTAACCCCAGGCATATAAAGTGCATGGTCAGTCTTCCTTCCTTCCCCACCTCCCCTCAAACAATGTAGTCCAAGGGCATTAGGTGAGGCCGAGAGATGAGAGGCAGGCATTCATGCTGGGCATGTGGCGCAGAGCAGGGTGTTGGGAGCCTGACTGAATGAGGAAGGCATCACGTGACAAGGTGGAACTGGCCTAAGGTGTCAGAACCCAGAAGGAGTTGGGAGGGTGGCCAGCACAGTGATGGAGCCCAAGCAGGGTGAGCAAGGCTTCCATGCAGAAGGGATCCCAGGGTAGGATAGAGAGTGTATATTTATGGAGGGCCAGCGGAGAATGGGCAATGACCAAGCAGGGTAAGGAAGGTAGGTTCTTCCCAAGTGGGGACCTGCTACAGAGTCCGAATACACGCAGGGTGAGAAAGTAGGCATCTCACATAGGAGGGCTCTCCAACACAGATATCAGAGACCAAAGGTGTGAAAAGGGCATCCGCGGGGAGAGGAGCAGTATGTTGGGGTCCAAGCATGGTGAAGATGAGGTCCTCACGGTGGAGCAAGGAACAAGGCCTGTTACAGGGTTGTCGGAACCAACACAAGGTGAGCAAGATGTCCCTGTGGAAGAACAGCAGCCTCATGTGTGATGTCAGAGCCTGAGAGGAAGGAGGAGGCTGTGATATGACACTGGCTTACAGAACCAGGGGACTGATAAAATCAGCTGATGTTAAGGACAGTGGGAAGCGACTTTCTTACTTTTGGAAAAGAGAGTTACAAGTATGGAAAAGGAGAGCCTAGACTAAATAAACCCTGCAGTGCTGGTGAACTGAAGGCATCTTTGTGAACTCTTGATTCAATACACAGACATAAAAAATAAATAATGAGGTAAATGTGTCTATATGAATACACTTATATACTCCCCTGTTCTGTCCATTGCAGGCCTGGAAGCAGTGAGACTCCAGGAGCTACCCAAATCTTATTTCTATATACATATAGCATTCTTCACTAATAGAATCCAGGGCTCCTTAGAGAAATGGTTGATTCCAGGGCTGGAGGAGGAAAAATATAGGATGAGCCTAATAAAAAATCTTATTAGGCTAGAAAGCAAAAAGGTGTTCAAAGAATGATGTAAACATCAAAAGGACACAAAAGTCAGCTTAAAGGGAAAATCTGGGTCAACTTGATTAAAAAAAATGATAGTAATGGAGCTGTAACACATTGAATAAAAGAGAAAACCTTGAGTTCACACAAATATAGGTAACTAATTGGAAAAACCGGAAAGTTTGGTAGGAAATGGGGCAATGACAGGGTCTCAAAGTACCTCTCCACAAAATACATATTAGTTACAAAAAGAAAAACTTTATAGTGAAGCAATCTGGTACCACCTTAATGAAGGGATCAGGGTTAATTTAACATCACCAGTAATGGGATAATTAAAGACTATAGGACTGTGTCACTAATGACATGCAATGAGAAGAACTAATACTCCCGTCAAAGATACATAACTTGAAGTTAGTAATGAGGAAATACCGGACAAACCCAAACTGCAGGACGTTCTAGAAAATACCTGGCCTATACCTACCAAAATGTCAAGGCAAATGAAAAGTAAAGAAGACTGAACAACTGTTTTAGACTGAGGAAGAATGAGAGCGAGGACAACTACATACAACACTAGATTCTGGACTTGCTCCTTCTGCGTTAATGGATGTTAACTGATACAATGGCAAAACGTGAATGGGGTTTCTGGATTAAATGAAGGTAATATACCAATGTTAATTTTCTCATTTTTAAAAAACATATATCTACTTATTTTGAGAGAGAGTGAGAGAGCGCATGTGCATGTGTACGTGAGAGCAGGTGAGGGGCAGAGACAGAGAAGGAGAGAGAGAGAATCCCAAGCAGGCTCCACGCTGTCAGCACAGAGCCTGATGCGGGGCTCAGTCTCATGAACCACGAGATCATGACCTGAGCTGAAATCGAGTCAGATGCTTAACTGACTGAGCCACCCAGGTGCCCCAATTTTCTCATTTTGATGGCTGTATTATGGTTATGTAGGAGAATGTCCTTCTTGTTTGTAGGAAATACTCGTGAACGTATTTGGAGGTGACAGTTTACTCCCAAGTGGCTCAGAAAAACGTTTTATACTGTACGTGCAGCTTTCCTCTAAGTTTGAGGTGGTTTTAAAATAAACATAGAAACAAAAATACTCCCCAGTGACACATACAAAATTTTTACACTTTCGACAGATTACCAAACTGCCTCCTAGAAAATGATACCAATACTCCAAAATATCAAGTTATTAGGTGAGCATTATGACAGAAATTTCACTATCTCATCAAAAAAAAAAAAAAAAAGTAACCTGCATATTACATAAAATGTCATTTCCCCCCTGTATTTTGCATTGGCCCATCACAACACCAGACTACATATTACAGTACAAACTGAAACCTTACATCAATCTCCATGTGCCGAAACCTGCACACCTGTCGAAAACAGCGCCCCTCTTGCCACAATGTGCAAACAGTTTCATTTCCTAGTGCCGCTTCACAGTGACGGAATGGACAGCTGTCACCCTGTAAACAAAGAGAATACAGAAAAGAACTGTGGTACCAAAACAGAGCCTACGTGAAATGTTCATTGTAACAGTTTCCTGGCATCTAGACAAACACAAAGGAGTAAGGAGACAGGCAAGGAAGAAAACAGTGCAGGGGGAAGACAAGAACAATCTGAGGTCAACAAATTTATAATTTCCTTGACAGTATCCTTCATCTGATTTTATAACATAAGTGACATAAGCTGAGAGATGGGGTTCAAAAACATAAGTGGGAGTATTTAAAGTGGTACACTTTAAAAATACATTTTACAGTTCTTCAAAACCGTTTCATACATCTTGACTTGTGTAACTAGCTTTTGATGGAAAATCAGAAAGTTAATAGATTAGGATTTCAGGTTAATTCTATGCTTCATTATATACTTTATACAATGGTAATATCGTAAACAGAACACTACTGCTGTGCAACCTGCTATGTGATCAGGGCTTTGCTCAAAACTGATCATTTTAAACACAGCACCAAGATGATTTTAAAAAAGGTTTTTTTTAACAACATATACAATTATAGAATTAGTCATAAAGGCGCAGAAAAGTGGATAGATCTCAATGAAGCCGCAGAAAAATTAAGCAGAAAAACAGGAAGTCTGGACACAGAAAAAGCAAAAAATGCTGCAAAAGCATATTTAGAAGAATGGCTTGATGACTCAGCAGGAAATCTGAAGAAAAAAAGTCAAATTCAACCCACGATAGTTTCTAGAAGTATAATACAACCCACACATTCATTTAATGCAAAGTAAATAAAATCAAAGTTTGCAAGCTGGGCCAAAGCGCTCCTCATTCTGAAATCGCCCCGAACAGATTAATTATCAATAAGAGAACAGTGAGTGATGCCTATGCGCTGTAAACCTTTCCACTTTTGTAGAACGTGAAGGGCAGTGAAGAGCATACGAGAGTAGAAAAAACAAGGATGAACGATGGAAGTCTCCCAGGAGTGCGATTCTCTTTTTAAACAATGGTAGCAGGTAGCAGACAATAAACAGTTGAGGAAAACAAAACATAAAAACTTAGTATACTGGGTAAATCTTATCAAATTTTATTAGAGAAACTGTAGAAAGAACTGATTTAGAGATGCCAATTCTTACTTTGGTACATGTAGAATAGAAAAAAAAATAGCAGTCTTCTCCTTGATTAGGCATGCTGGGTAGATCCTCAGATTAGAAGTGGCTTCTTGAAAACAAGCCACTGCTTCCTCAAGGCGAGGACCAGCTCCAAGTCCTCTTGAAATGGGTTTAATCTTCCAAAAGACCACTCAATCACAGAAATCGTCTTTAAAATGCAATCCTAAAATGAGGAGACAATGAAGTAAAGTACTTCAGATAAATTCTGCCAACTTCCTCCTCCAAATCACCTTGACTGAGATCACACTGTTAAAACCAAATTTTAATTGCATGAATATGTCCTTACCTGTGCAGGGCTTAGTGAGCACTGGTTAGTATTTTATTCTTATGTGAATATTATACTTTCTCATTTATAATGTAAAATTTTTGTTAAGGATAGCCATGCCCTTCTTTCGTGTTCTCTACGGTGCTCATTACATCAGCATAAAATAAGCATTGCTAATTCAATAAATAATCTACATTTTATTATTTTATTTTTAATGTTTATTTATTTTTTTTGGGTGGGGGGGAACAGAGCACAAGAGAGGAGGGACAGAGAGAGAGGGAGACATAGAATCCGAAGCAGGCTCTAGGCTCTGAGCTGTCAGTTCAGAGCCCGATGAGGGACTCGAACTCACAGACTGCAAGATCATGACCTAAGCCAAAGTTGGACGCTTAACCAACTGAGCCACCCGGGTGGCCCACTAATCTAATTTTAGATTATTGATGGGATTTACGTTATTTTACACAAGATATTTGCTAAATCTACGTATCTGACAAACTAGGTTTTTTTCATCTGACAAAAGTCCCAATATTTTCACAAGCATTTTTAATTCAAAAGTATACAAGTAGGTAGGAAAAGCTGTCTCACTAGAATAACTGATGAAACAATTACCCCTGAATACATCTGTAGAGCTAGCTTATGGAATTTAAGATGGCTAAAGAGTTGCACACCAGGGCGCCTGGGTGGCTCAGTGGGTTAAGCATCCAACTTTTGATTTCAACTCTGGTCATGATCTCAGTTTGTGGGAACCAGCACCACATCAGGCTCCACGCTGATGGCATGGAGCCTGCTTGGGAGTCTCTCTCTTCCCCTTCCCCACTCACACACATGGCCTCTCTCTGTCTCAAAAATAAACTTAAAAAAATTAGGCAAAATTAAAAAAAAAAAGAAATCACGGTTGACAAAAACAGAGTTGCACACCAATTATAACAAGGTGCAAGTCGTCCTTGGGATTCCTTCCATAAAATACACAAAACTACCAACACCCCACCCTCTGCTCTTGCCATACCCTGGCCCTCACAGTGAAGTACTCAAGAAAGCTTCTACAGAAATAAAAACACACGGTAAGAGCACCTGCCAGAATTTGGAAAGGGTTTCTATAAATTCACATACACCAGAAGACCAGGTTTCAGAAACACTGATCTACAACTTGAAATGAAATCAAACTCAATCATATCTCCCACTAATAATCCTAATCCAAGAATAGCAGACCACAATAAAAACCAGCCTTGAAATCAGCAACCTAGGTTAGGAATTAAGAATGCCACTAAACATATACTAAAACCTTTAAATGTGCATATGCTGTGATGCACAATTTCATTTCTAGAATTTATCCCGAGGTAAATATTCAATCAAGTTCACCATCACTTTGCTTTTAATAATGAAAAAAACACCCACATGTTCAAAAACTGGACTCCTTTTAAAAAGTTATAGTACTTCCATGTGATGTGATAATATGTAGCATTATACAGATTTGAGTACTGGGAAATGGGGTGTGGCTGAAAAACCACCTACAAATGTGGAAGAAGCTTTGAAACTGGGTCATGAATAGAGACTAGAAGAGTTTGGAGGCACGCCATAGAAAAGCCTAGAAGAAACTGCTGCGGGAAATATGAATGTTAAAGGTGCTTCTGGTGAGGCTTCTGTGGAAACACCGTTAAGAAAATGGGACACAAGGGGGTGCCTGGGTGGCTCAGTCGGTTAAGTGTCCGACTTCGGCTCAAGTCATGATCTTGCAATCCATGGGTTCGAGCCCCTCATCAGGCTCTGTGCTGACAGCTTGAAGCCTGGAGCCTCCTTCAGATTCTGTGTCTCCCTCTCTCTCTCCCCCTCCCCCACTTGTGTTCTGTCTCTCTCACTCTCAGAAATAAACATAAAAGAAAACGGAAGACAAGTGACTGGCAGAAAATCTTTGCAAAACATTAACTAACTGAAGGGCGCCTGGGTGGCTCAGTTGGTTAGGCGGCCGACTTTTGCCTCAAGTCATGATCTCATTATGAGTTCGAGCCCCACACTGGGCTCTGTGTTGACAGCTCGGAGCCTGGAGTCTGCTTTGGATTCTGTGTCTCCGTCTCTCTCCCTCTCTCTCTGCTCCCTAGCCCCTGCTCACACTGTGTCTCTCTCTCAAAAAAAAAAAATAAACATTAAAAAAAGCAACAATACATAACTCACAATAGACTGGTATCCAAAATATAAAAAGAGCACTTAAAACTCACCAATAAGAAAATGAACAAACCAATTATAAACAGGCACAAAGGGGTGCCTGGGTGGCTCAGTCAGTTAAGTGTCAAAGGGGTGCCTGGGTGGCTCAGTCAGTTAAGTGTCAGACTTCTGATTTCGGCTCATGTCATGATCTCACAGCTGGTGGGATTGAACCCCGTGTCAGGCTCTGTGCTGACAGTGCAGAGCCTGCTTGGGATCCTCTCTCCCTCTCTCTCTGCCCCTCCCCTACTCAAGTACACAGGCTCTGTCTCTCAAAAAAAATACGTATTTTTTTAAAATGGGCAAAAGATCTAGAAAGACAGTTCACCAAAGATACACAGATGGCAAATAAACACACAAAAAAATGGTCAACATCATACATCATTAGGGAATTGCAAATTCCTTTTAGAATGGTGAAAATCCAGAACACTGACAGCACTAAATGTCGGTGAAGATGAAGCAACAGGAAGTTTGGAAGAACATAGACCAAACTATTAACAGTAGTTACCACCAGGGTGATTGGCCGGATTACAGGCGGCTATTTATTATATTTTATTTTACGCTCATAAGAACATTAAATTTTCTAATACAATGCAACACAGACATAATAAAAAATGTAAGTCTGTCCTAACCGGCCTGCCCATCACAGATCCACTACAGAATTGGACAAGGATTGGACCCTTCATAGCACCTCACTGATCCACTAGTAGGATTCCCCTGACCCTAAACACAGGGAGTGCATTCTGTAATAGCAGGTACACCAAAAGGTAATTTAAAACACTACCTCAAACGGGATCAAGTCTCTAAGGGATATCCAAATAATTACAATGATACATATACAAAAAGAGAAGGTATTAATGAGACAAGAATAAAAACGTTTTACAAAAGAAAAAAATTTTCGAAAGGAAAATAAAAGGTTCAGGGGTCAATTTCATTCCTGAAAACATCCCAATCAAACAAAATGGTACTTAAGAAGTAATAGCAAAACAGCATGAATTGTTGCAAATTACAGTGGTTTTTGTTTGTTTTAGTTAGGCTCTGCAAAACTCCCTCACAGGGGCACAGAGCACGGAGACTGAACGTTGAGTAGATGGGCACTGCCTTACTAATGTTTCAACAGAACAGCTCCGTCATATATCTGTTTTACACACTGAACTTCTGTAACTTTCACTAGGGAGAAAAAAAAGAATATAACTGCTATTCAAGAAAACAGCCCAAAACAAAACAAAAGCCATCTCCAGAGTTAAAAAAACAAAACTTGACAGTAATCAGCACTACCCCAACTTTGCAAGGACCTAAAACCAAGATGCACACTATAAATTTCTTAAGTTTTAAAAGAAAAAAACTTTTCATGATGCCAAGAAAAACCTGGTTACTTTTCAATAGTGAAAGGAAGCCAAGAGGAGTAACTCTCCTATCCTACTCCTGAATTAATGTAGGAAAAAGAAATTCTTTTAAAATCTTCATGCTAAGGACACAGCTTGATACAAATGAATATATTGCTATGAAACAGAGGAGAAGCAAAAGAAAGTGCAAAAAATAAGAAAACGCAAATTTCTAGCCTCTTCCCCCGAGATTTCAAAAGAAGAACAGGAAGCAGAATAAACATTGATGAAAAACACAACTCAATTGTACAGTATCACCGTCAGGATATCTTCCAGAATGCGGAAAGACATCAACACAAGAAAATGTATATAACATGGAAATAATTCCAGGAGATTAAATTTCTATACAATGGAAGATCTTAAAAAAAAAAAAAAAAAAAAAGAATGGAACTGGTAGAGATAATGATAAAATACAGTAAAATTTCCCTACAATGAATAAACTTGAGTTTTTTTTTTTTGTTTTTTTTTTTTGAACCTGAGTCTGTAAATTAAAAGGGGTTCATCAAATGCCAGGCAGAAAATTTCCTTAAAGACATCTCTACTGGGGCTCCCAGCTAGCTCAGTCAGTGAAGTGTGCGACTCTTGATCTCAGGGTTGTGAGTTCAAGCTCCACGCTGGGTGTACAGATTGCTTAAAAAAAACTTAAAGATATCTCTACTGTACCAGAGATAAGCTGAAAATGTCAAATTCCAAGGAGTGAAGATAGAATCACACAGATTTCTAGGAAAAAGCAGACTGACAACAAAGAAAATCAGACTTGACATGACATCATCTGAATCTCTAAATGACGAAAAGACAAAATGCTATGCACCAGAATTCTAAGGAAGATTATGACCTTAGATATGTCCTTTCAAAGTACATTTCAAGATCTCGGGACTTGGAAGTTTTAGATAGTAAGTCTCCAAAAGTAAGGAGCCTGCTTGGATTCTCTCTCTGTTCCTCCCCTACTCGTGCTCTTTCTCTCTCAAAATAAACAAATGTTAAAAAGAAAAAACAACAAGACTTATTGCTATTACAGATGTGAAATAGAACATTTAAATGTAATATTCCCAAACAAGTGAACGTAAGATCCACAGAATTCAAGCAAGTCCATGGATAAATGTGACTTATGAAAAAAGTGGCATTTGAAATTTAAAAAACTTTGGCCTCCCATTTGAAAAAAAAACAAC